TTTAAATGTTTGTCACAGAAATTTAAAATATTTTGATAAAATGCGAATACATAGAAAACTCAAGACAAACAACAAAAACCCAATAAAAGTCCAACAAAATGGAAATGATCAAGTATATTTTCAATGTGCATCTACTTGATTGTAGTTGTTGCTGTATGAGTCCTCTACAACTTGATGGCACTTAACAACAACAACACAGAGAGAGCTCAGTTTTGCCAATGAACACAAAGTGATGCTACCAAGCCAAAAGTGGCTGATTTTAATCTGTGGCACTCAGGCCTTGTTTTTGGTCAAACATTCTTCTAAGTGGCGTAGCACTGCTCTGTCCATTTGCTGTACAGAGGTAATTCGAGGTGGCTGTAATGCTAAACACTGTGACACTGGTGTGTGAAATTTGCTAATGGCTCCCCATGGTGAATGGTGTTTGGTGGAGCTTCCCAATTAAAACAAGCTTGCAAGCAGGAGTGGCATCCACTTCCAAAATGGCTTGTCTCCAGAAACTATGAACATGGAGACAAGACCAAAGTTATACAAGTGTCCAGGTCTTTTGTTCATAGGGTCGCTATGAGTCATCTATGGCTCGATCGCACTTAACAACAACATCTACTTGATAGATTCTCATATAGACATTTAAAATAGTGGTTATAGAAACTGGGAAAAGAAATAATAAGGCAAAAGTAAGTAAAAGAAAGTTTTAAGTAACATATGCATTCTACTATATTTTAAAATGAACAGGAAAATTCTTGGAATTGGGGATTCACCCCCATAGTGTATGTGTGTGTGTGTGTGTGTGTGTGTATGCACACACACACACACTTCATGTGCTATACATGTATGTAATTAAGATGAAAGATGAGTCAGTAGTGTCACAGGAAGACAGCAGTACAGAATCCCAGTTAATGGGGGCACACAAGTGGGATTCTTGGATGATATTATAAACATCTTTGGAATCAAGATTGCCAATTAAGGTTTTTTCCTCTATCCCTTGTAAAAGATGCTGTGTCCTGAAGTAAAACCCAGCTCTGAATCATTACTAAAATCTAGAAGAGACAAGAAAATTGATGAAAAATAGTGACTGTAGAGTAAATCTATCTATCACTTCCATTTTTTTAAAGAATCAGATTCTTGAGATCAACTACCTTTCAAACCCTGTATCTTAGTACTGACCTAGAATCCTATGACCCATTTGCTTCCCTGTGGTGCTTTCTCCTACTTCCCTGATGAGAGAGATGGGGAGACCAAGACCTAGGTAATCAGACATGATGACCTAAGATCACCTTAAATATTGAAGGGACTAGTGTCCCTGAGAGTTATAGAAAGCCCTCTTCTGTGAAGGGGATATGGAGGAGTAAGTTCCTCAGATGGAGAGTGTGGGCCACTTAAGCAATGTTTTAGAGTGTATTCTACTTAAGCTCTTTGATTTGGTCTCACAATACATATTTTAACTACATCCTACTCTCCTCCTTATTTCCTTCTTCTTTAATTCATTTTGTTCTCTCTGGATTTCTCTTTGTTTTCCTTATTTATTTTTTCATTGTAAAAATTCACCCCTGCTCTGTGTTGCTGGTACAAAAGGTTAACACATCCAGTTGTTAACCAGAAGTTGGAGGTTCTAGCCCACCCAGAAGCACTTCAGAAGGAAGACCAGGTGATTCACTTTAGAAAAATCAGCCATTAAAATTTCTATGGGTTCAGTTCTAATGTGACACACATTGTTGTTGCTGTTATGTGCCGTCGAGTCACTTGTGACTCATAGTGACCCTATGTACAACAGCCCTAAACCCTGTTCTATCCTGTGCTAATTGTACTGCCTCTGACACACCTACCTCCATTACCTCAGTCACTGAATCAATCCACCTCATAGAGGGTTTTCCCCTCCTGCACTGTCCCTCCACCTTCCCAAGCATGATGTCCTTCTCCAAGGACCTCTCCCTCCTTATAATATGTCCAAAGTATATCAGACGAAGCCCCAGAATCCTTGCCTCCAAAGACCAACCTGGTTTAACCCTCTCCAGGATGAATCTGTTTGTTTTCTTGGCAGTCCATGGTACATTAAATACTCTTCTCCAGCACCACAGCTCAAAGGCATCAATTCTCCTTCTATCCTTCCTAGTCATTGTCCAACTCTCCGATGCATAACAAGTAATTGCAAAGACCATAGCCTGTATCAGACTCACCTAGTCTCCAGAGTGACATCATTGCTCTTCAGTACCCTGGAGAGGTCCCTAACAGCAGACTTTCCCATCGCAATATGTTTTTTTAATTTCCTGGTTGTTGGTGCCAAGAGTGTTGACCGTAGAGCCAAGCAGACTAAAGTTGTTAACAATCTCAATTGCTTCCCCATCCATCCTGATGCTGCCAATTGGTCCAGTGGTGAGAATCTTTGTCTTCTTGACATTGAGCTTCAATCCATACTGAAGGCTACAGTCCTTGACCCTCTGCTGCAAGCATTTCAGGTCCTCCTCAGTTTCAGCAAGCAGGGTTGTGTCATCTGCATAATGCAGATAGTTAATTGATCTTCCACCAATCCTGACGCCACACTTCTCCTCATAGAGCCCAGCCTCTCAGATAATCTACTCTGCATACAGACACACATTGTTGTTGTTGTTGTTGTTAAGTGCCGTCGAATCGCAGGTGACTCATAGCGACCCTTTGAAGGAGAGTCATCAACGCTTGGGTGCCTTTCCTCCTCTCTCCAGTTTCATAGGGTTTCCGGAGGTAAGCTATCACGGAAGTGGATGCCACGCCTCCTTCCAACCTTGTAGGTTGCTTAAAATATACAGGTTGGGGTGTGTGTATGTGTGTGTGTGAGGAAAATGGGAAGGAACTAGTGTGTAAACAATGTTTTTGAATTTTGTAAATAAACTAGTATAAAAAGGGGGGGAAGTGAATTGGGGTGAAAGGGAAGGGAGAGAGGAGTAAAATGTGCAACAATGAAGAAATGAAAATCTGTTTCTGTAAACTTTTGATAAAAACACAATTAAAATAAGAAATTTTGTTAAAAGAAAGGTATAGGTTGGGTCCAACTTGATGATATCTGGTACTGGAAATGTGTTGGTAGTGTGTTAGACATTGTCCTTAGACACATCTTAGTTTAATGGAAAAGAGGGCTGGAATTACAATAGCATGCAAGAAGACAACTGAGACAATCAAGGACATGCAGAAAACAGTAGAAAAATATTTGAATTGGGAAAAAAGAGAGCTTTTTCTATTGAAAGTGCTTTCTGAAAGAGGAGATACTCAAACAGTATCCTGAGTCCTGTGTAGGTAAAGGGTAGTCCAGGTATTCTTATAGGACAGTGTATCTAGTTACTGAACTCAATGTGTGTTCATGCCCGGGTGTACAATCTTTAGTCAGTCAAACTTGTAATACAAGAGAACAAGAGAGAAAAGAGAAAGGAAGAGAAAGAAGGAAGAATAGATTCAGAAAATTAGGGGGAAAAGGAGAAGATAAAGAGAGAGAAAAAAAAACACACCAAAAAATAGGAATCATAGAAAGAGCTGAATTGAGTAATTTGCATCTCAGTCTTGGAAAACTCAAGTGATAGATTCTTGGCAAGATGACTCTTCTTTTTTTTTTTTTTTGTGGTACTGAGAATGAAGTTTATTAGGGAAATATGTTGGAGAAGAATATCTCACAATACAAGTCCAGGTTAAGTCTAGAAGTCCCAATACACAATTCCTCAATTAGTACAGGCTCCGGTTTCAGTTCAACAATCAAATCCAAATCACTCAGCAAGGTCTACCTCAGAGTAGTTGGAAATCAAGCATCCAACAAGAACATCACAGGACAGCAAGTAATAGATATTAGAGAGGATGTGACGAGAAAGGAACTCCTTTATTATTTTTTTTTTTATTTTTGAGAAAGGAACTCTTATACATAGTTTGTGGGGCTGTAAAATGGTGCAACCATTCTGGAAGACAGTTTGGCACTAACTAAAAAATCTGAACATAGAAATTCCATATGGCCCAGCTATTCCACTACTTGGAATATACCCTGAGAATATGAGAACTGAGGCACAAACTGAGATTCATACACCAATGTTCATAGCAGCATTAATCACCATTGCAAGAACATGGAAATAGTCCAAATATCCAACCATAAATGAATGGATTGGGAAATTTTGGTACATCACACAATGGAATACTATGCAGCACACAGGAACAATAACTTTGCAAATTATTACCTAACTTGGGAGGTACTGAAGACCATTATGCTGAGTGAACTAACTCAGTCCCACAAGGATAAATATTGTATAAAACCATTATTATAGAATGAGTATAAGGATGCAGGGTGGGAGGGGGGTTGGGGTGGGAAGGTGGGACAGGATGGAAGCAGTGGGATGTAGATGTTCAGAGGGAGGGGGGATTAATCATTGAGTTGTACAATTTGATGGGTTGGGTGTGAGGGAAATTGAAAGGATTTGTTTGAATTTGTATCGTATTTTGTAAATAAACTAGTGGGGGAAAATAAAGCACAAAAAATTAAAAAGAAAAGAAAAAAATAAAAGAACAGCAGAAACTTTTATGTATAGCCTTTTTTCTCAGGGCTCCTCTGGTTACATCTTGCAATAGTTTTTTCTACAGCAGTGCCACAGTCTCTCCCATCACCAGAGTCTTGCTCCAGTCTCCCTCAAGTCTTGGGCAGGCTTACTCTTGAGTTTTCCCCCATCCTTGGTTCTGCATTTAGAGAAGATGTGAACAAAATGGAGGTTTTATCCCTACCCTTCCTGAATTCACAGTTCTATTGAAGAGAAGACTGTGTCCAAAGGGAATAATAACTAAATATTGCCCATGCCAGGATGGAATGAGATCAAAGTGGGCCAATATAGACAAGTCTTTCTGGAGCAGGTGAATCTTAAGAGGACAGTTCTTAGATGAGAACTTTGCTGAATGGATAGAATCCTTCTTAAACATTGATTGGGTACAGTGTGTGGGGTCTACCTCTCGTCTACCTCTCTCGATGGCTGACCCTTTTGATATAAATTTCAGTGCACAAGATGCTGTTTCTGCAAGCTGTTCTACTGCTACTAGCCCTGCCCGATGGTGACACCGTAACCGAAGAGCCTGTGGTCCTGCCCTCCCCACCCAAAGAAGGTTGTGCTGGTTGGATGGCAGGTATCCCAGGACATCCTGGCCACAACGGAACTCCAGGCCGAGATGGCAGAGATGGCAAACCTGGAGAGAAGGGTGAAAAAGGAGATCCAGGTGAGGCTAGGTTCTTGGTTTCCTCCATCATAGTTCAGGCTTCCGGATAGAGGAAGGATCCATGGATGTACATGGGCATTGCTTTCTCCTAAGTCTTAGACACAGGAAGAATGGGAGGGTTTTTAATAAGACTTACAAGGTGGGATCAGTCCTTGGAGAGGGACATCATGCTTGGGAGGGTGGAGGGACAGCACAGGAGAGGAAGACCCTAGATGAGATGGATTGATTCAGTGACTGGGATAATGGGGATAGGTGTGTCAGAGATAATAAGATTGGCAAGGGATAGAGCAGGGTTTAGGGCTGTTGTACATTGGGTCGCTATGAGTCGCAGGTGACTCGAAGACACATAACAACAACAACAACAATAACAATAAGCAATCTGATGTGGGTTTGGAATTGGCCCTTAGTTCTAAAGCTGCTACAAGTGTACAGTTGTTATCTGGAGTAGTACATCTTAGTTACCTAGAGCGGCTGCAATACCACCAGCATCTAGTGTCTCATTCTTTGAGCATGCTCTCAGGAGGGGCCAGTCCCTGGAGGACATCAGCCTTGGAAAGGTTGAGGGTCAGCACTAAAGAGGAAGAGTGGCTGGAATGATGGACTTAAGCACAGCAGAGCTTGTGAGGATGGTGTAGGAGCGCGCAAAGTTTTATTCTGTTATGTGTAGGATTATTATCGATCAGAGCTGACTTAACATCTCTTAAGAAATATTGTTTTAATAGACAAAACTTACAGAATGCCACCCTGAGCAGAAGGCTTCCTCTCCCTGTCAGCTCTGAAGATAAGGGCTCTGAAAGTCCTTATCTCTGTTTCTCCTTCCTCCTTCCTTGGAGATGCTTGGAGACCTCCATAGGTCTTGGCATCTGTCTCCTTTGTTCAATTGCTTTTTTGTTCTCTCTTATATTTCAGGAGAGAGTTACCCAAGGTGGGCACTACACAGTTCTGCTTCATAAACAAAGCAAACACTGCTCAATCCCAAACGGGATTCTAAACACAGACATAAAAGATAAGATTTACAACGTGTAATTTTGGGAGACACAATTTAATCCATAATGATCCTCCAGCTGTGAGACTTGGTGCTACCTCTGTAATTAAATAGTCTTTGGTGTTGCCCTAGCCCCCCTCCTTGCCTAGACCCATTTCCATCCCATTCATATTCTGTTTCCAGTCTGTTCATATTTCCACACTTCATCCTTTTCATGGAATTCTTATTTAATTCAATGACATTCAGTTGCACTTGTCTTGCATCTCCTGCAGGACACAGTTGCTGCTCTTAGAAAACTTTCAGTGTGCTTAAGGGATGTGTTTAGTACACAAGACCATCAAAGGTTGCTATAAAAACATTAGCTCCAAACTGAATGGGAGGAAAAAAAGAAGCCAAATGAGTGACAATAAGAGAAAGTGCACTAAATACTGAACTAGGTTAATAATGAAGGCTTTAAGGATGAAGGAGGGTTTGAGCTGAACAGAATAGAGGAAAGAGCATATCCCAGACAGAAGGAAAGAAAAGAAAACTTAAGCTAACACTTAAAGGCTGTTGGTGGTTGGCAGGGCTGAGGGAGCATTCTGCAAGCATATAGAAAATAAGGTTGGAAATGAACTTACAGACATCACCCTCTGGGCTATTCTGTGGGGCAGGTGGAAGGAGGAGGTGACATTCCTTCCTTTTTGGGAGATTTTAATTGTTCTCAGGTAAGTCAAGCATTTTGCAGGAGGGCATCTCAGGAACAGTGCTGTAGGTGGAAGCCAGCCTAGGCAGGTGTTCTGTTCCTTGTGGTCACTGAAATCTTCTCATCTCTAGGTCTTAGTGGTCCTAAGGGTGACTCTGGAGACACTGGAGTGACTGGAGTTGAAGGACCCCGAGGCTTTCCAGGAATTCCAGGCAGAAAAGGAGAACCTGGAGAAAGTGCTTATGTATACCGCTCGGCATTCAGCGTGGGCCTGGAAAACAGAGTCGCTGTTCCCAATGTTCCCATTCGCTTCACCAAGATCTTCTACAACCAGCAAAACCACTATGATGGTACCACTGGCAAATTTCACTGCAACATTCCTGGGCTGTACTTCTTCACCTATCACATCACAGTCTACCTGAAGGATGTGAAGGTCAGCCTTTTCAAGAAGGACAAGGCGGTGCTCTTCACCTATGACCAGTACCAGGACAAGAATGTGGACCAGGCCTCTGGCTCTGTGCTTCTGCAACTAGAAGTGGGTGACCAAGTCTGGCTCCAGGTATACGGAGACGGGGAGCAGAATGGGCTCTATGCAGATAATGTCAATGACTCCACCTTCACAGGCTTCCTTCTCTACCATGACACCAACTGATGGTCCTCATCTCAGTCTCTCCCTAGACCAACTCAAAGGTTTTTAGGATAGGCAGGAGATTGACTGTAATACCTAGTCAGAATACTCTGAGTATTATTAATTCATTTACTCATTCAGTCATTAAATGTTTTTATTTTGTTCTGTATTTAATCATACATTTTCAATCCTGAAGAAGATGTGATCCTTGACCTCAAGGATTTTATTATGTTGTAGCTATAAAATAAAAATTTACTTTGGAGTTTCTCATCCAGTCAGTCATGACCGACAAAACCAAGTATTTGACAATGCTATTTTGTGCTCATTGGTTCTCCGCCCATTCCACCCCTTCCACCTCCCCTTTACAGCTCCAATTCTGAGGATGCAAGTGTTAAATGAATGTGAAACCAAATGATTTAAGAGACAGACTGGGAAATCAAACCCAAGATCTTAGACTCTTTCCATGAGACTCTGCTTTTGTTTCTTGACTTGTTTGTTTGTTTTAAAAGCATATGGACTCTTGGAGGTAACAACATAAGGGTCTTTTCCCAAATCCACAAAACCAAATCCCACTCATTGCCACCAAGTCAGTTCTGACTCATGATGACACTCCATCAACTTCCTAAGGCTGTAAATCTTTGTGGAGACTTTATTTTTCACCTGCTGAACAGGTGGTTGTTTGAACCACTGGCCTACCAATTAGCAGCTAACTCATTACACACAATGCCACGTTGAGTTGACCAGTTGTTGTTGTTGTTGTGTGCCATCAAGACAGAACTGAATGAGAGCTGAGCCTCTTCCCCATCTTTCACCCATGGAGCAGCTGGTGGATTTGAACTGTGTGCCTTTGGGATTGTAGTGAAACTTCTTACCACGAGGCCACCAGAGTTCCCGTAAGTTCACCAGAAGGTCCCTGGATTTGCATTCATCATAGTAGCCTTCCCCATAGTAGAGATTCTTCAGAGAAAATAGTTCTATGAAGTCCCACCTCAGCTAGACATCTCTTTGTTCCTGGTACTACTCTGTACTTTCTCTTCCCTTTATTTCTCATATTCTTCCCACCAGCCTGGGAATCTATCTCCACTCCTTGTGCTGACTGAAATCCTCCCTGTCCCTCAAAGCTTCCTGGTCAGGAAGTTCCTCAGGTGTGCTATCTCTTTCCTGCAAACCTTCCTAGCACACCATGGCCTTTGTGCCACTCTACATCTTACCCCGGTGATGGTGCTGAGTGTATGAGACCTCTCTTCTACCACGCTGGGAACAACTCGTGGGGAAGGGCTGCACTTACTTCACCTCTGAACCCCTTGCAAGAGTGTGATGAATGCTTAGGAAGAGAAGTCTCTTGACTTACCAGTTTCAGTATTTCTATGTATAGAAAATGTATAACACATATTTTGCCACAGAAACATTTTCACTTCAGAAATTCTATGACAGTAAGACTAGATAGTTTGAATCTTTCCCACCAAGTTTACTAAGGATGGTGGTGCTTTCCAGAGCACTTGAAGAATTTTCCATCAGTGAGGTAACAAGAACCTGAAAAGCAAGCTGAAGGAGGAAATTGGAAGTTAATGTTTCCCTCAGTGCCAACAGAGAGATGGGGTCCCTGAACTCACTCTTGTTCTCTATAACTTCATGAGGTGTCTGATGGTGTTGGCGTTAAACATCCCCACAGGAGACAGTTGCTTTTGTGATGCTCTCAGTTGGAACAAAATAAAAATCTAATAGTATTTTGTAAAATGGAAAAATAAATGGAAAAATCTACTATTTGTTTATAGTTTCAAATTCTGGATAATCTCCCTTTTCTATGTGATTATTAATGCCAGATAAAAAAAATTTTTCTTTCATAATGCTTGTATAGAGAAATAAAGATACTAACCTTAAAAGTGAAACACTTACTTTATCTGACTTTTGTTTCCATTATTTTCTTTTTTTTCCATTGTAAAAAAAACCATGCATGGGGATCCAATGGGGTTAGGGGTGGGAGCAGAAGGGTGAGGATGGGGTAAGGATGAAATCACAGGATTGCACAATTTGGTGGGTGGAGGGAGTGCATAAAGGAAATGAGAAAGATCTGGCAGGGACCAGAAAAGAAAAGACAGGGTAATGGTGGGCATAGTTCAATAGTGATTTTTTTTTTCTTTTTACAAAGAGATTGTCTTTTTTTATTTGTGGGTTTCCCATTTGGGAATAGGGGCACAAACTCTCTGACTGCTTCATGCTGAACAGGAGAGTTGAGATGAAGGGAAAGGGGAGCCCACTTTAACACTTTATTGGTGGTCTTAAATTGAAACTGCTTTCCTTCTTGTTCAGGTAGAAGATTTTCATGTTTTCTGCCCTCTGGACTGCAAGGTGTTTATGTGAGTGAGTCCAGTGAAAGTGGCTGGCTGAACTTTGAGGATCCCTCCACCTTCACTTCCTTAGCTGGTAGTTGTATTTACTTTTTGTCTCTGGAACTGACCTCAAAGTTCACGTTCTGGAACAAGTCTCAGTGTTCAGATTACCTATAGGAAATGGAGCAAACCTAGAGAGAACAAATTTGTGAGTTACAAAGAAAAGGGTTTTGGAGGTGTTACTTACAGGTGAACTGGAGGAGGAGATGAAAGAAAGTGGCTTAGAAAAATTTCCTCATAGACATCTGGTGGCTTTCCCTAGGGGCCAGGCAGCTCTCCCCAGGGGCCAGGCAGCTCTCCCTTGGGACTTGGCAGCTCTCCCTAGGGCCCTGCTGGCTCTCCCTGCCCAAAGCTCTTCTGAGGTCTCAACCTTGCTCTCTACTGGGGACAGCGACTGGCTGGGGACAGTGCTTCTTCTGGCTCTAGCACCACCATTATTGCCCCTTCCTCTCTGCTAGGTGGTCGAATCATAACTTGAAGTAGGTATTATTCCTTTCCCCTTCCACAAATGGAGAAAGGGCTTCCAGAGTGGTGAATGGACCTGCTCAAGGTTGAAAAAGTAATAAAGGCAGGAGAACAAGGACTCAAACCAAGATTGTCTGAAGGCAGGCCAGGAGGCAGTAAACCCCACGCAATGCTCAGGTCAGCCACCTTCATCTGCCTCTGCAAACAAAATCCTGCTGAAGATAATTTTCAAAATGACCAGAAGAGTACTCTCAAGCTGCACGCCTGCTGGGTGTCCACACGCATGGGGCACTTCCTGCTGGCTGGATGCTCACGGGGAGATTCACCGGGTGCTTCCTGCTGTGCTTCCCACTGTCTATTTTTTTTTAAAATAGTGAATTTTACTCAGTTTTTGTGAATACACAGCAGAACACCCATTCATCAATTTTCCCCCCTACATTTTAGTAACATTGATGGCATTTTTTCAAGTTGTACAACCTTTTGGAATAGATCCTTTCCCATCAACACAAATCCACCAGTCCCCTAAGTTTTCTACGTTATCTTTTGGGTTAATCTTAATGTGATCATGTTTGTTCCTGAAAAAAAAACAAAACAAAACAAAACAAAAAACAAACAAACAAAAAAACAACAAACCCACAATGCTCAAAGTAGAAATTCTTTATTAATTAAGCCAAACTATCAGGTTGTTAATCCAAGAGTCATTAGTCAGAATCTACCAGATGTTCAGAGGGCCAAAGATGATTAGTCACCTCCCTTCAAGATTTACAGCCTTGAAAATCTGATGGAGGGTTGCCATGAGTTGGAATCAACTAGATGACGATGGGTTTTGTTTGATCATATATTGTTAGGTTTAAAGAAGACTGCAGAAGTTACTTTTGGTTTAAGGTTTAAGGAGTATTTCAGAGCAATATTTTCAGGAATTTTTCTAGCTCCAAAAGCTCCAGGAAATCTACATTCCATAAGAATTTGAAATTACCTTCTGCTTTTGTCCATTTTTGATCAGGATTTTTCTGTATAATTGGTGATCAAAATATTTATTTATTTATGGTAGCCAGGCACCCCCAGTTCTGGTCTCATGGCAAAGAAGGCAGTTGTTCAGAGAGGAAACTAACCATGCCTTCCATTTCCTCCTATTATTCCTGACTCTGGGCCCACAATAAGCACCCATGGGAGTTAATTGTTGCTGTGTTGTCAGGTACCATCAAGTCAACCTCCACTTACAGCAACCCTATGAACAACAGAACTGCAACTTGCGACATCCACACAATGTCTGTCATACTCAAGTCTGTTGGTGTAGTTACCTTGTTAACTCATCTTGCTGACGCTCTGCCTTTGTCAGTATGATGCCTCTCTCCAAGAACTAGTTCATCCTGAAACTATGCCCAAAGTAAGTAAAGTGAAGTCTCACCATCCTTGTCTCTAAAAAATGCTTTGTTTCAGTTCCTTTAAGAGTTCTGTTGGTTCTTTTGGCAGTTCATGGCATTTTTAATAGTGTTCATGAATATCACAATGCAAAGGCATTGATTATTCCTCTATTATCCTTATTCATTGTCCAACTTTCAGATGTATAGAAGCAATTGAAAACATCAGAGTTCAGATCAGGTGTACCTTAGTCATTAAACTAGCATTCTTGCTCATGAGCACTTTGGAGAGGTCTTTGACAGCAGGTTTTCCCAATGAAAAAAGTCTTTTGATTTACTACTGCCATAATCATTGATTGTGGTTCCAAGTAAAAGGAAATAGTTGACAACTTCAATCTTTTCTCCATCGATCTTGGTGTTGCATATTGACCCAGTTCTTGATATTGAGATTTAATTCATATAGTAGGTTCTCTTCAATATGGATACAGTTTTTTGTCTTCTTGAGTAAGTGCTTTAACTCTTCTTCACTTTCTGTGATCAAAGTTGTGCAGGTTGTTGATGAGTCTTCCTCTGATCCTAATGCAACATTCTTTTTCATAAAATCTGGCTTTGTGATTGTTTTTTCCAGTATACAGATTAAACAGGTGTAGAGAAAGGTTATAGCTCTGATGCGTACCTTTCCTGATTTTAAATAATATTGTTTTCTCTTGATTTGTTTACACAATAACTTCTTAGTCCTGGTAGAAGTTTCATATGAGCACAATTAAATGGTCTGGAATTCTCATTCTTCTCCATATTAGTCATAACT